TCAGAAGCAAAAAATGACCAAATATTGGGCGCCTAGAGCTTGTATTTTTGTTGCTTTGTTCAAAAAACTGATATAAATGATCAACAGGGTACCCAATATGAATGGGTACATTTGCAAATAGAGGGAATGAAAACTTTAGCAGCCACTAAATGTGATTTATAATTTTAGATTGACTCTGCAGTGACATAGCATCTGTGATATAACATCTGGGAGTAGCAGGTGTGACTTTTTCCGCTTTGTTGCTTCATCAGGCCCACACAGAGGGACAGAGGAACGGAAGGAAGGGCCAAAAGAGGGACAGCTTTGAAAAAATTAGCCCTTCTCATCTTTAATATTTGAGCAAAACCTTTGTGACAAATAGAACTACTGCAAACAGAAAAATCAGAACTGAGTGAGAAGTTCATGACACACATCATCGATACAACAAAGCGCAACACCAATGATTCTCCAAATGACTTTAGACTTTCAAAGAGTCAAAGCTGCCTTACACTGAATTGTTTTGATGTTTTGCTGCATAAGGCAGGTGTGAAATTACTACAAGGTCTGAAGTTACTGAAATTCTAAATATATGCAGCTTCTTCTGAGATATTTTTCAAATTCTGTGACAGAAATAATTCCTCCTTTTGGGAACACAAACTAATTCAGTCCTTCATTAGCTCTTAATTAGCAGCAGTGCATACAAATTAACTGTGCCGCAGCTCTGCCGATTCACATCTTCAGTCTTATAAACATTCAAATGAGACGTAAAAATTAGGAGGCATGAAATAATGTGGCCATGTCTCAATTGCAGAATCAAGTGTCCCTGTTTTTTTTTTTTTTGTCCTTGCTTGACAGGCTCCTTATTTCACTGCAGAGGGCAGAGGTGCTCCATGAGGTCAAAGAGACAGATAGCATGTCAGTTTGTAATACAAGAGGACGTTTATTGTAGTTTGGCCTATTTAAAAAACTGGTTAGCAGTTGCTGCTGCATCAGACACCAAAATAAAGAATCACAAATCAGTCTGAATCTGAACAAACCAACATTGAACACAAAATAAGAGTCAGTTCATGAATCTGCTCATGTGCATAGAGAACCCTTGCCTCAAAATCATCGTGTTTCCGAGTGTTCTTTAGGGAACAGAGTGCCACCAGACGCTTCATGGGTTCATTGTTAACCGCATTGCTAAAAGCTAATTCTGGAGTCATGAAGCAGATCGCAGCCAATAAAATCAGTCATATTAGAGTCTATTAGAGGTGAGGAGAAAAATCCATACAGCATATTATCACGATATTTTGCGTGGCAATGTATCGATTAATGGCCGCCAAGTATCGAAATGTTTATTATATTGATAGCAAAATCTGCTTTTTAAAATGTTCTATTGCTGAAGGAGTTGCACAGTTCATTTTGAATAAGTTGACTTGTTAAAAATAACTGCAGTTGTACAGTCGTCCATCCTTGTTTGTGTTCAGTTGCGTTTGATTAGACTGAAATACCAACAGTTCAGCTTGTGAGGTGCATGCAGCCCTTTAATGGGGTTTTACTTTCATCACAGTGTTGGTCAGTCTGTGGGCTTGACTCACATTGTGTAGAAATAAAAAGACTTAAGTGAGATGAATAGACTGAGAATATGTTTCTTATTTCACAAAACAGTTCTTGGTTTAGTTTATTTTGTGGACAAAATGAGCAGTTAAAAGAAAAGCTAAATTGCAATATATTGTATTGCAATTCTCAGCATATCGCAAAATGTTTAAAATCGATATCATATCGTAACAAAGGTATCGTCAAACATCGTATCATTGGGCCTCTGGTGATTCCCACCCCTATGCAAAAAAAGCCACTACATTTTTGCATGCAAGGATACAAGTGAGTGACATTAACCATCGCTTGTACTTACTGTAGCTGGTGACTGAATGAAGGTCTGACCTGGACTAGTAAAACAGACCTTCAGGACCTTATTCTCTGAGTTTCTTATCTCACTACAGCCTCCAGACACAGCTAAAGATTAAGTGTGAAAAAGGAATGGTGAGAACACATCCACTGACACAGACAAGAGGGAAGAACAATAGATTTGAAAACAGGATCTGGTTGTATAAAAGAGAGAAAGAGCATAAAGTTTTCTCAAGGCCACATATTAGATTCACTTCTCATGGCCACAGATGCACAGCCCCACCTCTCTGTTTCATTGTTTGGCATAAAAATAATCAATCACCAGGCAGTAACCAGCTCTCTGATGACATGGGGACATAACTGTCACTAAATAATCAATCAAAAGCTTTAGTCTTGGAGTTTATGATGGCTCCGCTGAAAGGGTCATGTGTGACTGTGAGAGAGTGGGGGTGCAATGGTACAGAAATGCAGACACACTTGGGCGCACACACACACACACACACACTTACACACAGAGGCCTAGTTCATTGGCTGACTAACCACAATCCCATTTGTCTCTGCCACAGAGCGATCAGACGTTGGCCTCATAAATCATAAAAACTGTCATCGTTTTGAGCTCAAGTTAGCTGCCCACAGATTATAAACGAGTGCAATGAAAATTGATATTATAAGAGTCATTGAGCTGTGGGCACGCGTCAGAGCTCAGGAGGCATCACTGAGATAAATATTTCATCTTCTGTGGTCTTTACACCAAAATGGCAGAGCTGCGGAGAACATGCCAGAGGTCTAAAGTGCAAATTTAAAAACTCTGTATTGACTGCTTGGAAAAATCAAGTATTATGAATCTGTAACTTCCAGCATTGCTTAAAATATCCAGGCAAGTGCATTGCAATGTGCCTCATTAATGCAAACAGACCAGAGGCCACATGTGACACACTTTCTCTGTCAGGTTCAATGTTTCCACAGTTTTAACAAAATAAAAGTCCTATTAAAGGTTTGCAGCCTTGGTTTTACATCGCCATTGTGGCAAAATAGCAGGAACGATGGCTTAACCTTTTGCTTTAGAAACTTTCTAAGCTTGTCCCTGGAGACGTCTGTGACCCGGTGAATTTCCTATCTACATTCTGATGAATACTTTCTAAAAGTAGAGGATTTGCACATGGATTAAGGATAGGGATTACAGGATTATTTGGGTGTTTTCTTATGAAAGACTGCATGGTGTGTGCATCCAGAAAAGAAGAAAACAAATCCGTGGACTGCACAAGCATAAATCAGATGTGGGTTTCCTTAATTCACACCCTTTGATTTTCCCGCATTTCACTGAAAAGAAACACATTTGAGAGAGAAGATCCTTTGAAGTGAAGACCCCTCTGCAGTCTTAACATGTTTGTTTGTGTGTTCTCCCTGAATATGGTAATGATACTTTAAACTTTTAACGGTGAATTCTCACATATACACAAAACTCCTGACAATTTACCGATATTTTTGGGATGAGCTGCACAAAAGAACACTGTCAACATTTTAACCCTGACTTTTTCTCAATGGCAGCCTCCACTGTCGAACAATGAAGCCAATGTGAAGTGCGAAAAAGAAAAATGCATTTTCTTGAGTGTCCACTTGAGGCTGGCTCCAACAGACCCGGACGTCACATACACACTCGTTCTAAAATGCCAATTTTGACAGCAGAAATAAACATGTTTACGGCCTGGTACAAAAACTCTTTTAATCTTAATGGTTCATGTCTTTATCAGTACACACTATACAGGGGTGAATTTTATGATTCTGACATTTTGATTTTATAGAATAAGAGTTATTAATGATAAGGGGCATAGCTGATCTGACTGATGGCTTGGCCCATTGTCAGGAGGCTTAAGGACTACCTTAGCTCCAGCTCAGTGCCTGTCACTACATTGACTGAAAGTATTTTCAATAAGGCAACTGCCAAAACCAATGGGTGATGTCGGCGAGTCCATGTCCATGTATTATTCAGTCTATGCTTAACCTGTATTTTCCAAGTACATTTTCACATGAATTCGGGTTGAGCTGAAGTATGAACACAGCAGATAATATTCAAGTAAATTCACAATGGGCAGACAAGAGCTGGTGATGGTGTTTATCATGCGACTAATAAAGCAGCTTCATACGCTTTTCTGCTCACCAGCATGTTCTTTTTTCATTTTGTCCTTCATACTGTGGGGAGCCCAATAACAGGCAGCACTGATATTAAGGCAGAAGCTGTCGTCAGCCTCAGCTTCACCTGCCATCTTGGATTTCTTGTTAACATTACAACCGCAGCGTCCTTTTCATATTAAGTCCTGCCCCCTGAGACCCCGCCTCCAGGGAAAACTTTACGCTGTGAAGGGCATATGTGAGTAACAATTTTGGAAAATTTCAGGGTCTGGCTACCCTACATCGTTCTGGAAAATCAGGAGTGTATGTGTGGAAACAGCTTAAGGGAGCTTTTGTGATGTACCTGCATAACAGACTGCCTTTGACATCTATCTTCTCCAAGTGATGGTCACAAATCTGTTCTGAGCTTCACTCTTACATCAAAAGAGCCAGATGAATAGAACCCCCCCCCCCCCCGTTTATTTCTCAGTGAAGGTAGTAGTGACAGCAGCTTTTGTCTGTCAGAAATGTCGCCTCAAATTGAAGGGTCAGAAATAAGAGCAAAATTGAAATTGGCCATCTATGCATCTTAGATGGAATTTTAAGGAATCGTTTTTGACACTGAATCTTTATATCCAATCATCTGACAAAAATGTCCATGAGGAATCTGTGGGCGGGGCATTGTTAAACACAATCTGTCCTCCAGAATTGCATCAAGTCACGATGTTGAACTATTAAAGTACATGAAGGAGATGGGAAGAGAAAGATGAGTAAGGCCTGCTGGAGGCACGGGCTACAACGCCATGCCCTTGACATGTATAGTAGGAGTCATCCTCCATGTTAAAAAGGTCACTCTGACTCCTCAGCTGGTTCAAGTTGAGCGATGGAGACAAGGTCAAATAGACGACACACAGCTTCGGTTTAACGGTAGCTTAAACTACAACATAAACTTCTAGATCAAGTGTTTCAATTACAGCGTGCGGTTTTCAAACAGACAGCAAAGCCCTGCAGGGTGATAAACCCACCTCCGAGTTCTTGTAGAATGAGTCAACACCAAATCTGATGAATGCCAAGGAATTCTCCAATGAAGTCTAATTCAGTGGGTGGTGGAAGCGTGCGTTTAGGCTTGCCAGGCAGTTCCAATGATTCCCTCTAAAGAAAGACACAGAAATTTGAAAGAGGATTAACATTCAGAAAGAGAATGAGTGATACAATATTTGTATTACTCTGCCAAAACACAAGAGATGTTTGGTGACAGATGAGACACTTTCAAGGTTGCAAATATAATTTGTAACAGACTTTTACCTCACATGATCCCCCTTGCTATCATAGGAAGCCTTTGAAATAAGCTTAAATCTGAGCTCCTATAATGGCTCTTCTATATTTGTTCATATTCACTCTCTCTTATTTACTGTAGGACTGTAAGATTATATCAAGTGCTTCAAATCAAAGTGTTTGGAACAGAACTTCATTGGGAGTCCAACTCAAATTTAGCAAAAGGATAATGGCAATGTAACAAAGAGAGGGTCTTTACATGTCGACACAAACAAGATGTCTTAGACAGGACTCTAAATATCCAAAGACCTTTATGTAATAGATTGGTTCCAATCTGGGGTTGTGTTGTGCCAAAGATCTGCCCAAGGGGGGGCGTGGGTCTTTGTCTGCTCTGAGGGTTGTCAAAATTAGATGTACATATGAACTAAAATCGTGATAGGACACTCACTGGATAGTTGATACAAAGGTGTTTTGGTAAGAACAAGTGTGTGTAGACAAATTCTGTTGGGATTTTATCAATAAAAACTTTTAAGATTGATGTTCATCTCTGTCAGCCACGTATTGTTTTTATTCCCCCGATTGGGTCCTTGGGGGAGTCCATTAATCTTTTTCACAGATCTGATATTCGGTTCTTCTAAAGAACTGAACTCAGCTGTTTACTTATTAACTTGTCACATCAGTCCTTCTTGAAGGGCAAGTCTGGCATTAAGCAGTGAAGACAAATGATAGGCTTAGTTGTGTTTTGGATGAAGTGACAGAAAAATGGCCGCAAACTTCTGTTAAATGAAGGTGACTTAAGTTGATAGTTTCATCCCTAATGACAGTTCGGGATAATAAGAATCCTCGCAAAAGAGAAAAACGTTAGTGAGGACGAAATGCTTTTCTGATCTCTTCATCAGGATACAGCGGGATGAATCCTTAATTACATTCAATAGTTTAACAAGAACTCCAAATTCTTTGACAATCACATATCTTTCTACTTTCAACTCAAAATCATTTTTTAGTATATCCTTACTAAGGCTGCAGCTAACGACTCTAAGAGTCGACTAGTCATTGATTGTTTAAAAGACGAATGGGTAATGTATTGCACAATTACTTAATGGCTCTTATTTAGCTGTCAGCTTTTAATCGAACATTATTTTTTAAAGAGGACATATTATACCCCATCTCTACCTTTTAAAACAGTAACTGTGCTGTGGTCAAAATATAACATGAACCAGAGGAGGTTTGTGACCCTGTATAAACCAGCTCTATCAGAGCGCTCCGTTGTCTCTTTAAATTCAATGAGTCCCATTGAAATTCAATGGCGGACCTGTGCAAAAGTTTTGTTCTAGGCTGGGGGTGGAGTCCATGGGTGGAGATAGACTGTAATCCATTGACTGTAATCATGACTGAGTAGTATTGTTACTATGGTAATATTGGAAGTCTAGAGGTAGGAGAAAAGTGTTCTAGGAGAAAGGTTTGAAGGTAAGGGACTGAGGTAAGGGATGAGAGAAAAATCACTGTGTGGCTGTGACTTCAGACAGTTACTTTGAATGTCACTGTTGATGTTAAAAAGAGAAAAGTCCATCCAACATGCCTTCTCTTCAAATGTGGCGAATTACATACTTGCTCCCATGATTAGCAATGTCCACTTTACAAATCAAGCAAGCAATCCTTTTCTTTGAAGCATTGAGAATGAAATGTTCCCAGACATCATTTTTAGGACAATAATCCCTTTGCCCCAAATTCTTAAATAGTCCAGTGTTGATAAACCAAAATTATGAGATGTATATCAAAATAATTTAAAATGAACATAATTTGTAACATGAAATATAAGCAGTGTGCAGTAAGAGACTCTGTTAGGAACTTGACTTTCAATATGAGCAGCGAATGAGCTGCATATCAGCCACAGATTAATTCCTAAATTCTGGAGGGATTACCTCAACCCAGCAAACTCCAGACTTCTGAGCATGCAGGGAACTATAGGAGCTGAACAGGACCATATCCTCCTTATGTTTCTTACTCTTAAAGCTCACTACAGCAAGGAACACAGTAGTGTGCGCATCAGAAATACAAACCCTCTGAAAAGAAATGAGAAACAAGCCAAATCTTCTCAAATGAATGTTTTTTTTCCTCGGCTGTATTTGACAACACTGCCCACGGCTAGCGTCTCTAATTATCAGTGTATATGATGATATGAAATGCTTTTGAAATTGAGTGACATTCACACCGGATTTTTCACCAAGTACTTCCAGTTAATAAAACTCTGAGGGATGACGCTGCAGCGACACGACTCTATAATCAAATTAAAAGTCCCTTGGAAATGTCATTTCCTTTTTTAGACTTCAAAAGGCGAGTGGCCTTGGATCATTAAAAGGCTGGTACTCATTGGTATAGTTTAATTAAATCAGAGGGTTTTAAGGAATTAGTCATAAACATATTTGAAAAGACCTTGCAAGTTAGTAAGAAAAATAGTTGATGTTGAGGAGGCTGCTGTGGTCAGAGGAGTATGAAATTCTACCTGTTTGTAACCGTGTTGTGTCCGTCTTCTCCCCAACCTGCTGCTGAGTTGAATCTATTTCTCATCAGTTTGCAGAATAGTAATGAGAACAAAATAAAGTTTTGTTCAAGTTTGACTTTCTAACACAGTTTTGGAAGTTCAATTAACACCCGAAGTTTAGACATGGAAGCCAATGGCTAAAGAGAACCAGATAATTTTTAAACCAATATGTGTAACCAGCATTTTCCACATAGTCTTTGCACGCCATGTTCAGTCAGCAGGCACTACGGCCCAATGCGATCCTACTCTAGTCAATGATTGTGTTTCCACAGCAAGCGCCGCAGCCCATCTCCAGAATGTACAAGAAGCACTCCATTTCAAATATAGTCTATTCTTGATGGAGACCACTGCAAGCACGCGTCAAGGTGAACAGATCGACCCGGACAGGAAGTCAGACAAAGAAACGCACATAGCATTTTTTTGAGTTGCACGACTGATGTTGAAGTTGGATCAAATTTCAGCTAAATTGCCCGTTGATTGTCGTGCAGTCAACAAGGGGTAACGATGGCCCATCATAGCCTGATCAGTGGCTACTGACTGGGCGAATTAACTTCTGGCATGTTGAAAATGTTTGTCTTAAGACTGCACACACTCGTGCAGTAAGAGCACTGCCACTAGCGGATTCCTAAACTTTTAATCTTGATTGTGCCTGTGCAAAATTGGCAGACAGCATCTTAAAGCACCATGGCAACAACAGGCATGCCTGTTTGATGTGTCGTTCCCATCATATAACCAAAAACGATGAACCAGACGAACATTGTCAGGAAATAGCTGTGGACCTCCAGCTGCAAGGGAATATGTGTTGTTATTTTCTTAACATTTGGTAATGATGCTTTCAGAAGGTTATTTAATAGCATGTGTTTGGTGTTGAGGATTGAATTGACAGGATGAAGCTGTAAATAAATAACTTTGACACAAAGTGGCTTAATGCCTCCTGCGATGTGTTATCAAAAAGCACAACATGGTGTTTGTGCTGGTGCAAAAATACATCCTCTGCTCCTCTTGAAGAGAGACATCAGTGAAGTCACACATTTTGTTTTCAAGTAGAAAATGCGATCCACTGACCGTCTGTCTTCATCTACAATCAGTATAAAAAATAATAATTTAAAAAGTATGAAACAGGTTGTCAAAGCAAAGAAAGACAGAGAACATCATGTTAAATAGTGAAGATGATTTTTGCACACTCTCCTCCTTTTAATAGAGGAATCTTTATCAAAAGTTTCTTTTGACATTGAAAGGGGTTTCCCTCCGCTATGTTTGTCACAAAAGTGACACTATGATTATCATTCGTCATAATTTGTGTTTAAGATGATCCTTACAACTAATTTCCTGGATAATTAAATGTGAATTTAAATGCCTCCTAGTCAAGTAGTCTAAAGTAAGAAAACACTCAGTCAACATGGAGCACAATTTATTTTACACGACTAAACACGTCCAAATTGATATTGCACGAGGCCTTAGTGTGAAACAGTATCACATTCTTCAATTACATCACTGAAGGCCACTTTTAATGCTACTGAAATGTGTGCAGTTTCTGACGTAAATTACTTTGTAGGTAAACATTATCAAATACGTTTTATGTGGCCAACATTAGCAGTGCTAGCAACGCCAGCCTTCAGTTCATCTTGCACGTTAACGTCCACATGCCTGCATCACTGCAGTTGAGTGGTATAAACCGCTAAAACCTGACACATCACTTGTACAACTTGAACTCAATTTAACAGCAACTTCCTTTTTTCTGTGGTTAAGTTAATGTCGTAAACCCCTCGTTTGTCCTGGAAGTTCTTTATTTCATTCAAAATCAAAGCAGGTTGGTATCCACATTTAATAAAAGATGCCCTAGCTTCAGACAGTCCAAAAATACAAAATCAAACATAACAAAACTGTTGTAAGATACAAAATAATGGAATTTGAAATATGGGATAAGTTGTTGAAATTAATCGAGCCGAGTAATCATGATTTTGACAGCCTGGTAGTTCCTTTTTTCCAGGAGTAAAATCATTCTCATTTAGCTTTTGCGATGAAATTGATATCAAACTTTTTTCTATGAAAGATACAACCTTTTATTGGTTGTTCGCTTTTATGCTCTACTATTGTAAAGAAGTTTAAAATGATTATACTGTGCCAACCTTGTCTTTCACTGACATTTCCGAACAGATAAAAACTTCTAGGCAGCCCATCCAAACAGATTGCTCCAGCTGTAAACATTTGGAAAGTTCTGCAGCTACACTGTGCCAAGACAGAAAAACAGAGGCTTTGAGCAACAAACTCAACAACAAAGTGGTAAAAGGTTATAGCTGGTCTTTATTCTACAGATGGTGGTCTAGTTTCCTGA